TAAATATAATATAATATTGCCAGTTTATAATAATATCATAATAATATAGGCAGTTTATAATAATATAGGCAGCTGAAAATAATTTAAACACATAACATTTTGAAACACTGACTAAAATTTTAACATTATGTCTGCCATAAATCATTTATAACTTAGGCACTCATATACATATAACTCATAATATAAAATTCTATATAATATTATTACTATCTATTCTACTTATATAGATCTTTTAACTGATATTACTTTTAACTATTTATAATAATGTCTTGCTTTTTTATTTTCTCTTTAGTTTGGTGAAATAACTCTTGCAGAAGTCATGTTTATAAATTACTTATCAAATTACAAAATACTACTGTATATCACAGTCAAATTACAAAATACTACTATATGTTACAGTCAAATTACAAAATATTACTATATGTTTCAGTCAAATTTAGAGATGTTAATGAAGTGTTCCAGGGTGGTGTGATGTGTACTCTTGCAGAATATCCCTTGATATCACACCACACTGAAGTATACTTCTATAAAGCAAACTTCATAGTATTACTCTAGAGTATTAAGTAGAATATAAACTGGTGTATTAAGTCAGAATGTACTTCGAAGTATAACCTAGAGTATAACTTGGAGTATAACCTGGAATACTAATACAATTATATATAAAAAAATAGAAGAATAAAATTTTTTACAAAAAGTAAATCTGTCAAATATTATAAATAATAAATTAAAGACAAAGAATAAACAGATTAGTAAAGAATTGATCGATACTAAAGAAATAACCTGAAAATAAAATTTATTATATTTGTAATTAAATAAATTCTCAATTTATTATGTAATAATTATTATATTGTCATTATTGAGCAATGGTTATACACCATGAATTTTAAGGTTGTAAATCAAGTAAGTAATAGCATAGCAGATTTTATAGAAGTTAAGGTTATTGAGGCCTTTTATTATATTATATGAGTGAAAATTTTTAGTAAAATACAAAATCAAAATGATATTTATAAATAGTTTAGGCCATGCAAAGTTAATTACTTGGTTCTCATAATATGAAATTTTAAATCTAACCTGGCTAGCCAACTTTTTTTTTCAAATTTTATATATAAAATTTTATAAAATTTTATAAATTTTTTTTATAAAAAATTTACCTAGTTATTAAAACATATAAAAAAATTTTTTTAAAAGTTTTAAACTTTGATCTGGCCAAGTTATAAGAAACAATTTATATATTTTATATGGCCTTAGCTCAAATAATTCAAAATTGTGTATTCTAGTTAATCAGTTTGGAGCACTACTTATAAATAAAATATAAAAACTTATATGCAACTTGTAAGTAATTCATATCAAATCATTATTTTTAATCTTAGTAATTACACTATATTTTATATCTTATTGACTTAGATTCTATTTAATCTCATTGTTTCAATTTAAATAATTATAAAATTTGGGAGTGTGATGACTTAGTAAAATAAATAAGTTGTTAACCCTCCAAGTGGTAGGTAGGGAGTTCAAAACCCACTGACAGTGAAAATTTGGAAAACCCTTATATACAGTATATCAATACTATGGGCATCTGTGCAATGTTGGAATTATACAGAGGAATGCAAACTGGCATCAGGCAGTGCAAACTCAAGATAAGTTCTTGTATCTAGTACTATGACAATGGTAATCTGTCAATCAGTTGAAATCAGTACCTATAACATGGTTGCACCAGATAACTGGCAGGTCATGTGGCATCTGCACAATGTTGGAGTTATACAAAGAAATGAAAACTAGCATCGGGCAGTGCAAACTCAAGATAAGTCCTTGTGGCCATGTAAATCTGTGAACTGGAAAAACTAAAGCCCACTTGGGAAGATTCAAGTAGAAAGATAACACAGATTTTTGACAGTACTATTATAAAGGCTAGACCTAAAAAACAGATACCAATGTGAAAGGAATCAGGTGAGCAAGAACCTCAGATGAGAGGTACCACCAACCAGACTACTAGAAGTCTCGAACCAGAGGAAAAAGACCTTGGAGGGCAGACCCTGGGGTATCAGAAAAAGGTTATAGTCCTATTAGGCTATCTGGATTGAGAGTCTGAGATCAAAAACAGAGGTATACTAAAGTATTAGAGATATGTTATGAAGTTAGTACTGGGATCTAGGTGAACTATGCAAAAATAAGCCCTGTTAACAAGATACTAAATATAGGTAGTTAGTTAGCAGAGAGGCCCCCTAGAGCTCTACAAGTTAGGTGACATATTCTGAAATATGTAATGACTTGATGGATATACAGACAGGGAGATTATGGTTAGGTTAGATGGCACTTAGGTGTATAAAAACTTGTATGCTATTTGTTAATATAAGTATAAAGATCAGAGTGTTTAAATAGGTAATCTCCTAATAGATTGCAGATATAGCAGCTAGTGTAGAACCTGCTATGCAGGTGGACTACTTAAATTAGATAACTAAAAGTTGTACATATAACTAGTTGTATACTCACCTTGTACAAGTTATATAATCATAATTAAAATACAATAAAGGCAATAGTCACTGATAACTATAACCTTAGCGAAAGCAAAAAAAAATAGTAATAATAAAAATAAAATTAAGAATTTTTACTTATACATAAAAATATATAGAAATGAGCAAAGTAATTTATTTATTACATAAAAGTTAAATCACATTGTACTAGTTATAAGTATATATATTTAGTAAATTACATAATGTGATTTAACTTTTATGTAATAAGTAGTTACTTTTTTATTATTTATATATTATGTATTATTTTATTTATTTTGATCCAAACAGAAAGGTTTCAAATCCAAATCTTGAGTCTCAAACCCTTATTGAGAATTTTGAATCCAGATCTAAAGTTTCAAACTCTTTTACATTATTTATTTGAAAAATATCTAATAAAATAGCATAAAAAAAACATTTGATAAAATTTTTTGTAACAATATATAAGTAGAAATTACAAAGTACAAATGATTTAAAATATTCTAAAGCAAAGCAATACTGATAGTTTTGTATATGATTTATTATTAGATTATTTCATAATATCTCTTATTATATTAAATTTACTTATAATCCTATGAATTAATGCAATTATGCTTGGTGTTGTATATGATTATATTCAATAATTTCTGCCTAAAGAAAAAGTATACTATCTAAAAATTACCAAAAATCTTTCTTTTACTATTTCTTTGAATATTATCTAATCTACTAAATAAAATCTATTTAATTATATTCACAAAACAAAAAGAATTGCTAATCTAAAAATCTAAATCTGCTATCATTATAAGATTATAAAATAACAATATAATACAAATATTTATTACAATTTATTATAATCATAATAATTATTATGAACCTTCATTATTCAACTTTTTAGATGCAATGCAGCACATGCTAAACTTAAAGAAAGATTGCTTCTGATCTTTGTAATAGTATGAGCTATAATTGAAAATGCATATTCACTTTGAACACTAGTTCCTTGAATAGACAAATAGTCTTTTGCCATTTTGCTAAGTGTTGAAAACTCTTTTTTAAATTTATGTCATCATTTAAATAGGTTTTCTTTTGGGGCAAGTGGAAGGGCTAAATATTGTTCTAACTTATTTTTTACTAATGCAATATTTTTTTGTTATAGTAATGATTTAAAGAATAAGCATGATTTTTTTTTTATTTTTCTAATTTTCTTTTCTTTGCTTAGTAGTAAACATATTTGAAAGTGGCTTTCTATAGCTTAATACATGTTCATATAATAAATTTGTAGCAGTTAACCATGCTTCACATGTTACCAAAGTCATTAGCTTTGAGCATGAATCAAGCAATATGAGTAATATAGTGATTTTCCAATAATATTCCAGTACTTATCTAGTTTATACATTATTGATTGTGCTATATTATATTCATTCACTTTATAATTTAAAAGATATTGATCAAGATGATGCTAAAGTCTTATAAATATAAGATAAACATTACTAATAGTCAAATAAGAGTTAGCAAATAACAATAATGTTGTCTAATATATTGGTTCAAGAAGTTTTAATATTACATTTATTTGTTCCTACTTATTTTTATCAAGCCATGAATTTTCAAGTTGTTTTTTATTTTTTGCAACCAAATATTCTAGTATTTCTTTTATTTTATTAAACTTTTGCAATATTATAAATATAATATTCTAACAGGTATTGATATCAAGCTTTAGTTTTAAGTACTCAATTTTTTGTATAGCATAAATATTTCATAAAGAGTTATATAATAATTGGAAATGACATATTTTTTTATAAAGTTTCTGGTTTTTTTAATAATTATTGTTTCAAGTTGCATATTATGTTTTACTATGATATTTAAAATATATGCAATACATCTATAATGCATATATTCATAATTTTTTAAGATGAAAAAGTTACTTGCAGCTCATATTTTGCAACAATCATGCTTGCATTATTGTCAGTGATAAGTCCAATAATGCATTATAAAACTTTAAATTTATCAAAAGTATTAAAAGCAAGTCTTTAGTTTGTGTTTTATAATAATGATCTAGATAATATATTAAATTAAAGAAAAAGCTTCATGCTTCTCAATTATCATTAATATAATATGTGGTTATTCCAAGGTATGATTAATTGGATATAGAGGTCCATATATCATATATAACAGAAACTTTTGAACTAATATCTTCAAATAAATTTATTATTTTTTTATGTATATCCTCAAACTGATCTATTATTTCACTACTTAATGTTTGTTGGCAGAAAACACGATAGTGTAGATTAAGAATACTAAACATTTCTTTAAAATATTTATTGCCTATAACAGAAAAAGGTAATTGGCAACATATAATGAAATCAACCACCTTTCTATTAATTTCATTTACTTGTTTTTCTTCTTTTGGTATATATAGTATAGCCACAAAATAAAAGAGTATCTGCTATTTTAGAGAAATATTTTTTTATGTTTATTATTAAGGTTAGTTACTAAAGTTCCCATTATATTACCCAGTTTTCATTTTTGCTTACAAATGTTGCAAACTACTGCAACTACTTCATCATCTTTTTTTTCTTCTAAAAAAAACTCCCACACAATAGATGTATATTGACTAGTTCTTTTTAAAACATAATCAAAAGAAATTTTCTATTACTAGAATCAATTGTAGGATTTATACTTTTATTATTAGCAATATCTTTATTATTATTAGCAGTAAAACTTATATCTTCATTATCATTAAAAGTGAAGCTAATATCTTCATTACTATTAATGATAAAATCTGTATTTCTATTATCAACAATAACACAATTATCTTTGAAACTAATATTCTTACTAGTCTCGATAGCAAGACTCATATCTTCATCAGTATCTATAATATCTGAGTTATTATATGTTTTTTTAGACATTTGATGTTTTAATATTTGATTTTCTAAGTTGAATGTTCGATTTTTTTAAAAAAATTTTTTTTTAATTATATTATAAATGAGTTTTTTTTCTATAATCATTAATTTGATATTTATAAAAATAATTTTTTTGTTTGTTTGTTATTTTACTATTACTGCTAATCATTTTTACAATTTCAATAATCATCAATTTGACAAGACTTTTTTTAGTTCATATTCCTTATAATTATGTAGTTTGTTAAAAACCTAATAGTTATTATTCAGTTATTATAGAGAACATGTGTTTGGTGCAATAAAAAAAAATAGATGCATATACAGAGCTTACTTAAGAACAATGTTAAAGATTTAAAAAAATATTATAATATTTATATTATTAATGAAATAAGGTTTGCCTAATGTGAAAGATACCTATCTAAAATGTTATAAATAATAATAATATTATTATTAATATAATTACAAATTAACAATTGAAAATTAAAAAAAAAAAATAAGTTTATCATCATAAAAAAGTAATTCACTCAACAGCCAAAAATTTTATTGTCTTTACATAAAACTTTCAGTTTGTTTAAATAATGCTAAGGCTGAATTTGGTATTTATAAAAAATATGCATATAGGGGTGAGTCAATAGAAAAGGGACAAATTTTTTTTAAGTAAAAGTTTTCTTAACTTTAAGCTTAAATATCTCAACAACTATTTTATTAAATTTGATAATTTTTTATTTATTTTAATTCTATATAATTTCAAGATTAAAACAAAAAATTTTTTAGCAGATTTAATTAAATAGTTGTTGAATTATTTAAATTTAAAAATTAAAAAATTTCACTAAAAATGATTTGTCTTTTTTCTATTAACTCCCCCTATATATATATATATATGTATATACAAACTTTATATCAAATATTAGGTAAACAAATGCTAAAAGTTTTAGAATAAGTTTTAAAAATAGTTTGGTATAACTTTTATATTATCTGCTATTTTAACAGAGAATTTTATTATATTATTATTACATATTAACCTATTAATCTAAAAGAGCAATAAATAAGAAGTAAAAGTCAAACAAGACTATTTATTAACAATTTTAGGTATGTAACTTATATTAAAAGTAAATGATAGTTTGAATTAAAAATTATAATGCTGATGCATATACAGTTATGTAATAAATTACTTAAGAGTAATAAATAGTTTAAGTGTAATAAATAGTTTAAATATAATAAATAATTTAATATGTAGCAATAAAAAATAGATTAATATATAGCAATAAATAGTTTATGAACATACACTCTTTCTGCTGATCTTCAATTTTGTAAAGTTATAAATTAATACACTTTAGTTTGCTCCAAAGTTAATTAAATAAATAGGTCTTGCATTATTAAGAAAAAAGAAAGAAAATACAAAAATAGCTATAGTTTAATAGAACAACTTCTGGGAAAAGCTGCTTGGTCAAAGTATAAAAAACTTGTTCGAAAATTTTAAAAAATTTTTGGAACATTTTAAACTTGGCTGTAACTCTGTAATACTGATCGATCAACACGTAAACAAAGCACAAAGTAAACAATCATGTAAATTTAGTAAACAAACAAGCAAACAAAATATCACATGACTAATTAGGCAATAAGCACAAAACATGACTGACTAAATAAGGCATAAACAATAAGAATAAGTATTAGTCAAATAGATAGAAGCATCTAGAAATAGAATAGTATAAGAAGTTAGATAAAAAACTAGAATTAAAATACCAATAGCAGAAATCAAAGAGCTTTATAACTTAAACCAAAAAACATCAACAGAAAAGTATGCTTGCTTAAACAAATTAAAAGATTGCATGACACAAATAGATATAGATATAGCACAATTTTTAGAGGCAAGTAATTTAGTTCAAATATATATTATAAGAGTTTTGGTAAACAAGCACAAAGAAGTGCAGAAAAATCCTTATAAGAAAAAGAATGCAACAATAGAAAAAAGATTTCTAGTTAATCAAAAAGAAGAAGTGCATGAAAATATCATGCAAGATGTAATGTATGATAGTAAAGATAAAGCATGAACTATGATAACAAAAAATGAAGCTAAAGCTACTAACAACACAACTAATAAGTTAAGAGACTTTTACGAAAAGAAAAAATATAGTGGCAAAAGAAGATGCTAAAGGCAAAGACCAAAAGAAAGGAAAAAGGGTAAACAACAAAATAGTAGAGCATAAAGACTACCAAAGTAAAGATTTAATGGAGCTAGAAGCATCTATAGCACAACTAGTAATTTAAAAAAGTAGTCATAAACAAAGACACCCAGATGATAAAATAAAAATGATCAACAAAAAAAGAGATGATAGAACTAATAAGCAAGCAGAAGTGCTGTTAAATGAAACAGAAAAAGAAATTTTCAAAAATTCAGATAAAGAGACAAAAATAGAAGATAAAATAGCATTGCTAATGACAGAATGCAGCATACATGATTTAGGAACAGAAGAGTCAAAGAGACTTATACTTCTAAAATACAAAAATAATCTAAATAGAGAGTCATCAATAAAGAAAAAAGAAAAAAGAACAGAAAGTAGACTCCACGAGGATATCTATGCATCAAGATGGGCACCAAAAAAATATAAATAACTCTATATAGATGAATAAAAGCAAGTCAAAGAGTTTTATTCAAAATGAAGTATTAAAACAGAAGCAAGAACAAAAAGAACAAGTTGAACAAAAAAAAAGTCTATCAGTAATGCTGATATTATAGGATTTACTAAAAGATACAAGATATAGAAGAGTTACAAGATGTTTAAACTTTTATAAGAAAGCAAAAATTTTTAAATAGAAAATATTTAAGAAAACCAAAGCAGCAGTAGTTCAGATTACTAGATGGAATCAGAAGAGATTGGACCTGCTTGTAACAAGTTGGTCAGTATACTTTGAAAAAGAAACAATATGTAAAAACACACTAGAAAAATTTGACACAGAAGTGTTAGAAGAAAGAAGAAAATACAAAGCAGTACTAAGTGATATTCCAAAATCAGCACTAGAATTGACATTGTTAAAACAACTAAGACCACTAGAAGTCAAAGCAATTTTTATACTTAATAATAGTAATAGCAACAAAAGAAGCATAGCCTTTGCCTATTTTTGGATCTGAAGAAGATTGCCAAAAAGCAAAAGAAAAGAGTGTCTTTTATTATCATAACAAGCTGTCTTGGTATGAAGGTAAGAAAACATAGCAAAAAGAAATAAAGATAAATATTTCAGATTAAGAAAATACAGAAGAGTATATCTTTTAAGATATTTATAACTTTGAACATAAAAAGACAAGACCTTCTAAGCCTGAAACAAGTAGACTGAAAAAAAGAAAACAAAAAAAAGAACAAAAACAGCAAAGAGCATAAAAAAGAATCATTAATTATAGAGCATATCAATAAACACCAAAACATACTACAAGAAATACTTAAAAAACTCAGCAATTTAGATAATAAGCAGGTAAATCTTGCTTATAGCTTCTAATAGATGCCCTAGTTGAATCAAAAATCTTGGTGTAGAGAAAGCAGATGCTTCAAAATTAGCAGGAAAAAAGAAAGAAAGACTCTATAATCAAGAATTAATATACAAAAAAGCATCATTAATAGAATCAATCAAAAGAAGCAACATAGAGCTAAACATTGCATGTTATAATATTAATAGTATGAAAAGCAATAAGTACAAAATGGAACTAGTGTATAAATAGGCTGTAGACAATAAAATCAATATATTAGAGTTGGCAGAAACAAACATTAGTAAGAAAAAAGGTTTTTTTATAATGAAAAATTTAAATAGATATAGAGGTTTTTGGTTAAAAGTAAGTTCATTAAAGAAAAAAGGCTCAGATGTAGAGATTCTGGTAGATGAAAGATGGAAAAAGCATTTAGAACAAATAGACAGAGTTAATGAGTATATGATAGTAGCAAACTTCATATTTAAACAACTAGAACTTATAGTTATAATAGTATATATGCTATCTAATAACAAAGAAAACCAAAGAAAGATCTATAGAGCAATTATTCAAAGATATATTAAAAGAATTTACAAGACAAAAACAGTAATTATGGGAGATCTGAACTGTATTGTGAACCCAAAGCTGAATAGGTCTAGAAGCACAAAAGGCAATTATTTCAAAAAGGAACCAATTCTAAATTGATTAATAAAATAAGACTTTAAAGACTCTTATAGATTAGAAAACCCAAAAAGCAAAGAATTTTCATAGACAAATAGAAAATCCAGCACAAGAATTGACCAAATTTAGGTAACAGAAGAGCTGGCAAATGGTCTTAATGATGCTGAAATTCAAGATATGTCTAGCTATACAAATAGTGATCATGGAGCAGCAGTAGCAAGAATAGAGTTAAGTCACATATTAGCCTTGCATAAAGTGGCAAAACTTAAGAAGTTTGAGCAATATTGAACAATTTTCCTATATGAGAAAGCATCCAAAGAAGATTAGAAAAAATATAGAGAAGAATTAGACAGAATGCTCAAAAACAAAATCGCATTGCAAAAAGCAAAAAAGAGCAATATAGAATATGTAAACAGGTCAAAAGAAGATTTAAATAAAATATGAGAAATTATAAGCAAAAGTATACTCGAAGCAGCAAGAAAAACTATACCTAACAAAAAGATTCTTAATACAGTTGCTAATAAAAAAAACAATAAAATAAAAAAGTCAGAGTTAACAAAATCATTATTATAATTAGAAAGATGAATAAGCTTAGGAAGGAAAAACATCAAACTAGGTTTGATTTCAAAAAATATAGATGATTTTAATAGTACAGCAAAATATATAAATGAGCAGCATAGAACCAACATTGAAACAATCACAGAAATATGGACAGAAGAAATAATTACAGATTTGTGAGATTGGTAGAAAATTCTATACAAAAGAAGAGCAAAAGAATTAAAAAAACAACAATTAAAAGAAATAGAATAAAACATCGAAAGAAGATGCCAAATAATCAATAGCAAGCAAGAAAGAATGCTAATAAGTCTGCTAGACAAACTAATTAAAAAAATCAAAATAGACAGACTTATTGAGTTAGAGGACCTAAGTAGAATGCTCATAACAGACCCACACATAGTGTTGGAAAAGACCAAATCATACTTTTAGCAGCAATTCTGAATACGGACTTTCCAAAGCCAGAAGATGAAAAATGAATAGGTAAAGATATATCAACCTAAAGAAGAAATTAATGAAGCCTGATATAACCAACTAAATCAGAATATTTTAGAAGAAGAATAGCTAGAAATGTTATCAGAGCTTAAAAATAATACAGCACCTGGTATCTTAGGAATTACTTATACATTAATCAAAGCAGTTAGTAGCCAAACACAAGAAATTCTAAGAAAATTTGCAGAAAGATGTATCAAGACAAGAATGATATCGAAAAAATAAAAAATATTACAAATATACTCAATAACTAAGGATCTTAATTGGCAATATAACTTAAGTAATGTAAGACCAATAGCATTACTAGAAAGTGTACAACTAAAGTTTTTACCAAAAGGTTGTCACAAATATGCTGTAAAAAAAATATTTTAAAAGGGCCAAATTTTGCAAGCTTGCCAGAAAGATCAACAAAAGAGCCAGTACATATTATTAATGCAATAATAGAAGATACAAAAGATAACAAAAAAGAACTCTAGCTAGTATTGCAAGATATAAAAAAGGCTTTTGACTTAGTATTATTAGTAGCATTAGACCTGGCACTTAAATGATTTAAAATATCTAAAATAGCAATTATCTTTTAAATCTCTTTGAAAACCAACAGTCAAGAATTATTACAAATATGGGAACAACAGATGTCTTTAAGATCAAAGATGAAATCAAACAAGAAGAAGTAATTTTACTATTAGTGTAGAGAATATTTTATGATTCACTTCTAAAAAGAATCCAAAATGACTTAAAGTTAGGATATACTTTGTATACTTCACCTAACAGCTGTACAGACTCTTCAATGTAGAAAGAAAAAAAGTAGAGACAGGCTGTAGTAGCCTTTGCAGATAATATTATATGAGTTGCATTAAGCAAAAGTCAAATGGAAAAAATTATCGAAATAGCAGAAGACTTTTTTGACTTAAATGATATCCAAATTAATGAAAAAAAACCAAGTTAATTACAATGAACACTAAAGAAAAAAAAAGAAGAAAGATCAATATTCTTTGGCAAAGAATGGATTCAGAAAGAAAATAAAAATAAGATAATATAGTTTTTAGAAATTTGGTTAAACTGCAAACTAAAAAAATCAACAATAAAGTCAAGAGCTAAAGAAATAGTATGATTATATATATAAAGATTAAATCACAAAAAACTAACAGTTAGCCAAATATTATATATTAACAATATATGTATTATACTTAAGTGTGTTATATGCTACAAACAACATGATTATCAAAAAACATATTAGAGAACATATACACACCAATACTTGGGCTAGCAAAAAGGAAAATAAATATCATAAGATCAGTAAAAAATAGTATAATGTATCACAGAAATCTTGTTAATCTCAACTCATTATAAGACCAATTAGTACTTAAGCAAATTATTAGTTTATATCACTGACTTAATGCAGCAGGCTCAAAAGAGTCAGTGACCAATATAAGAATAGAAGACAGTTTCCATCTAATAGAAGCATCAAAAAGCACTTGGCAAAATAATATTTCTAAAGCAAGTGCTAAACTATGGAAAAACAATTTAGCTTGCCTAATGATGCTAAAAGCAAAAGATCTACAGTTAGCTTTCAGTTTCAATTATGAAACTTCAATTTATAATGACAAAAGTACAAGAGTATATAAAATACTAGGAACAAGATTCATCTTGATAGTTGTATACAGACCAAAAGAACTAGAAATTGCTTTTATACATTAGCTAGTAGACAAAGATGATGACAACTAAGCTTATTAAAAAAAAGCAATGCCAAAGGCAGATCAGCCAATTGGTTTAAAAACTTAGAAATGAAGATGATAGAAGAGCCAAGCTGTAGAATAGTAAAACAGGAATTTAGAGTAACAGCTCCAAACAAATAAAGAATAAGTGCACAAGTAGGCAAGCTTTCAGATGATGCAAGATGAAAAGAATAAGTTTTTATAAACAATAAGCTACATCATAAAGAAGATGAACTAGTAATCAGAAAAATCAGATCTAAAACATCTATGATACTCCAAATTGAACACTGAAAAACAAGATTTCAAACAGAAAAACAAAAAACTATGCTAAAAAAATGCAAAGGTTGTTCATATAATGATCTTAGTTCTGTTGAAAATTGTAAAAAAAATACAAAAAATATAAGATTCAAGATTCTTTATCAAAGTATATAAGGAAAAAAGATATCTAGCAGTTAAAGATTAATACAAACATGTTAAAAGTCACAGCACAGATAAAGAAGAATAAAGCACTAGACACAGAAAAATAGGTAAAAGAAATTATAATAGAAAGCATAGATGTTGAGATAATCAAAATCAAAGAATTAGTAATAAACTTGTCAACTTACTTATTGAAAAACATAAGTATATTTAGAAGAACAATAGTCAAAAAAAACTGATCTTCTATACAGACAGGTCATTAGTAAAAGAGGATCAAAGCCTAGATCAAATAGAAGCAGTGTAGTTGCAAGTAAACAGTAAAGAAGAATATGTAATTGATAAAGGTGCTATTGGAGCAAAAAGATGGCCTTTTTCAACCAAAGCTGAACTGTTGGCAATTTGGTATATAATTCTTATAGTACCAAGTAAAAGCAAAATTAAGATACATACAGACAATGCAGTAGCTATAGCAAGTATATCCAATAGTAGTCAATTTGTAATCAACAGAAGAAGAATAAAAAAAAATATTACAATCTAATTATAAATATAGAGAACATAGAAAAAATTAAAAAAATAGAATTAGAGTTAATAAAAGTAAAAGGTTATAGCAATAACAGATGGAATAATAGAGCAGATGAATTAGCAAAAGAAGAAGCAAATTTGCTAAATTCTGATAAAATTATAGTAGAGCCAGTTTCAAGATTTAATGTATCACTTCTGTGAAAAAATATAGTTGTAGAAAGCCAATACAAGACTTTGTTAAAGAAGTTCTTAACATTAAAAACAATGCAGATTGGAGCTTTTCATAAGCAATTAAAAAGTTAGAACTAATACAAAAAGAAAAAAAGTACTGCTATGCACTGCTATAGAAAAAAATCAAGAACCAGAATGGAATTAGATGCAGCTCAACTAGAAGAAGTAAAAAAATTTAGTACACTTTTCAAGTGTATATAAGAAAAAATGCCAATATTTAAAGAACTAGTAACAAGATGCCTAGACCTTTTAACAAAACCAGACTGTATCATGTGCAAAGAAGAAAAAAAAGAAAATCAAGATCATTTAGCAGTCTGTTCAGCTTACAAGAACCTTTGGATAAAGGAAGAAATGTTAGCAATAACAGTGGCATGGAGTGAACTATCAAAGAACAAAAAAAGAGATACTACACAAATACAAATAAAAGAAGCAATTTGGGGCTGAATGAGAGAGAAAAGAACTAAAGCACAGAAGAAGCTTATTAAAGATCTTTTGCAAGAAAAAGTAGTTGAAAGAGTACAAGATATACTAATCTCACTGAATGAAACAAGAAACTTCCTAGCAAGCATTATAAATATAATATGGAATAAGTTTTATGAAACAGTATAGAAAGAAAAATGCAGCAAAATATGTGAATGGGAAAAAAGTCAAGGCATTAGTACAAGAAGAAAGAAAAACAAAATCCAAGGTTCAGAACAACAAAATAGAGCAGTAAATGAAGTGATAGCAAGATCAAGAAATAAAAAACTAGAAAAAGAAAAATATACAAAAAAAAAAAAAGAAGAAAAAAAAAGAAATAGAAAATTTATAAAAAAACACAATATAAAAACTAATTAATAGTAATAGAAGGCCTTACTGAAATGGCCTCAAAGGCTAGCCTAAATAGCCCTCTAGCAATGAGTAACAACTCATGCTAGTGTGACAGGCTGCCTCTAGGCACTAGTACAGTAGCTGAGAGATGTCAAACCTAGAAATTAAGCTAATAGTTATATAATTAAACATGCAATTCTCTTAATAAAGTATATTGACAAGACTGCCAAAGTTTAAAAAAAAAAAAACCCCAAATAGTTTACTGCTATTATCATAATTCTTGAAATATCTGATAATTTCAAAATATCTTAGTTTTGTCTAATAAATTATTTTACTTTTTAAAAACTGTATTACTGTTTTTAAATTAGAAATCTAAAGACAGTGATATAGTTTCTAAAAGGTTAAATAATTTACTGAATGAGTTTAAGAATATTTCAAAATTATTAGGTGTTCCAGAAATAATAATAGCAGTAAAAGCAATAAATAGTTTGAGTATATAGTGTTTTAATATATTATAATACTTTAGAGTATAAACCATCTTATATTAATTTTTTTTTTTTTTTTATTAAGGTAACCTCTTTGGTCTTTTGACTTTTATTAATTACTTATCGGTATTGTGGTTCAATGAACCACTACAGGAGAGCATACAATTGGCTACACATGTAATTTTTCTATATTACCTATTTAAGGAGTCTGCCTGAAGGTTCCCTACCAATTGCTGTACCTAACACCCCTGCTTGGGTGTTTCACTTTAAACTCTCTGAACCTGTAATCTGTGTTAACATCACTAGTCATCTCAGATGTACCAGATCATCATCCTCAACCTTAGGACTAATTTATCCTTGAGATAAACCCCCCAGAGCCTTTTGTACTTATTTTTACAGCTGACCTAGATATTGCTATAGCAGAACCAACACTTGCAGTCAGAGCTAACTATTAAACTGCTATGCCCTTGTAGAGTTTACTTAGACCCTAGCATCTACTTTACAGCATAACTCCAGTACTTTAGTATACTCCTGCCTTTTTTCATGCCCTTTTACCAGACTTCTAATCCAGATAGCCCATGTAGAACTATGACCAGTTTATTGATATATCAGATCAGCCCAATATCCTTTTTCACTGGTTCATTCTGGCGGCCTGGTTAGTGGTACCTCCAAGACTCCCAACCTGGAGGTTCTTGCCCATCTGGCTACTAGGACCAGGTACTAGACCTGGGTATCTGTTTCACCAAGTTAGCCTTTACAGTAGAGCCATCAAAGATCCAGCTACCTCTTTATTCAGGTATTTCCAAATGGACTTCTTGTTACCTAATTTTCAATAGATTTACACAGCCACAAGGACTTAACTAGTGTTTGCATCACCCAATTTGTCAGTTTGCATTTCTCTGTGTAACTTCAACATTGCACAGATGCCCCATGACCTGCCAGTCATGCTGGTGTGACTGCCATTACAGGTATCCTAACCTAATCATTAGTAACAGTTGCCATAATATGAATATTACATAGGTGATTATTTAAATTTTTGCTATCGATGGGATTTGAACACCTAATCTACCACTTGGAGGGTTGACAACCTGATCACTTTACTAGGTCGTCACACCCCACCATCCTATGTTAATAATATTACTTCAGAGTATTTATTTCTATTAATAATATTTTAATAATCTGAGGCAATGTAATATTTAAACTATACTGATATAAAGTGGAGTAACTTTGGAGTTACTTCAGAATACCTTACTTCATTAATATCTCTAGTCAAATTACAAAATATTATTATATATTATAATCAAATTACAAAATACATTATTGTGTATCTCAAACAAATTACAAAATACTACTATTTAGGCCTAGTGAAAAATTAATTGCAATCAATTTTATAATAATTTAAATTGATTGTGATTATATATATATGTGATAAAATTAATTGAAACTCAATTAATAATGAAATAATTGCAATTAATTGCAATTAAATTTAATTTTTTTTATTATGTATAGCTTGCATACAGTAACTTGAGTTTTTAAATGATAAATATGTATTTTATATTATATATTGTAATTATATAAATAATACTTTAAAATTTATTCAAATTATTTGTTACACATGTTGCACTAAACCAAACTAAATAAATATTAATATAATAATAATAAATGCAATATTTATATTTAATAACAATTCAAGTAATTTTATATTTTGAGTATTTTTAATTAATTAGTTATAAAAAAAATTATGATTTCTTTTATTTTGTTTTATATAGTAAAAGCCTTATTATTTAATTTAATTAACATCTTGAAAGGGGTGTGGCGACCTAGTGAAGTGGATAGGTTGTCAACTCCCAAGTGGCAGGGCTAGAGTTCAAATCCTAGTGATGGCGAAAATTTGCAATTCTTTCTGTGTTACAGCTAACTGTCTTCTGTGATTGGTTGGAATAGGATACCTGTAACTCGTGTCATACCAGCCTGACTGGAAGGTCTAAGGCACTCATACAACATTGTACGAGGGAACACAAACCAGTACCGGGTGGTGTGAACCCAAGATAAGTCCTTAGGCTGTGTAAATCAAGGGAACCAGGTAGGAAGATGGAAGTCCACTTTGAAGACCTGAGTAGAGAGGTAACCCAAACCTTTAACAGTGCTACTGTAAAGACTAGACTTATGAAATAGAGCTAGAACTTGTGAAACTAGGCAAATGTGCTAGTCTTTGAGGAGGGACCGGATGAACCAACCAGGCTGCCAGAATTTCTAGGTTCTGGAGGAAAAAGACACATGCCGGCAAACATGTGAACCAGAGGTGTATGGTTTCGACCTACCTTTTCAGACTATCTGGAATGGCAGCTTGGTGAAACTTGAATTAAATACCAAAGTAGTAAGGATATATTGTAAAGTTAGTACCAGGGTTGGGGTAAACTTTATAAGAGCATAATGGTTTAATAGTACACTCTAACCGCCAGTGTTGGTCTTGGTCATAGCGATACCAAGTCAGCTGTAAGAATGGGATACAGAAGATTCTGGAAGGTTTAGTACAAGGTCAAAGGTTCCCCATGTGAGTAAACTGCTTTAAAGACTTAGTGACTATGGCATATTTGAACCAATATCGACTGGGGCATCTTGGTAGATGTAAGTAGATGGGTGGATACGGGAACAGAGTGGTTAAATAGGGAACCTACAAGTGGGTTCCAGGTATGGCAGCTAGTGTAGAACCT